GGGGTCCATAAATCCTACGACACCCCCCCCCCTCCCCCCTCCCTGATATAATTCTTTGCAAAGTAACTCATTTTTAAGTGGTTAAGGAAAATTAGGATAATTAATAAAGTAAAAAGGTATATTCTGCCCATTCCCAATTTCTACTAATTTATCACTAATTACGTCTTATATATAAATTAAGTAATTAAATTCATGCAAATTCTATCAAAATTAGTGAAATAAGTTAATAATATTAAAAATAATAATAAGTACACCATATTCATAAACAGGTCATCATAATAATAAAATAAAAAATAAAATATTAAGTACACTCCATTCAAAATTTTGGTCATAAATAATATTTCCTAACAACATCACATATAATCCATAACTTAAAGTATATAATATTTTCTAAATCACTTTTTTGGGGGGACTTTTGGGATTATATTTTTTGTTAACTAATTAACTAGGAATTCAATGTTAAGGATTTTTGTTTGTAAATCTCAATAGATTATAACTTTTCTCGTAGTAGTATTTAACAATATTGTACCCTATGAAAGAGTAATTAACTGATTTATAGCTAGTTTTTATTCTTAATCTATTTTCTGTCACAATCTCATTTGCATCCATTTCCTCCGATTTAGAGAACCTGAAACACTAAGACTAATCAGTTAACAAGCACAATCTCAGAGAAGTGCGTTTTTTAATGCCAAAGTTTCATCAAACCCTTTTGGAAGTTGGTACTACACTCGCACAATCTTCTTTCCGATTATTTTTCTTTTTCACTCTTGTTTCTCATTCAGATACCTTTTCTTTGTATCATAAAATAAAAACCACAATCCCTAATTTCTCTTCCACATTTACTAAACAGAAAGAAAACTTCTGGAAATTATATTATTTTATTTTATTTGATTCAAGAATTGAACAAGATTCCAACTTTTGTTAAAAATATTTGAATTTCTATTTGTTTTATCAAATCTTACGGTAAAGTTTTTGTCAATTTCAACGATTTTAAGCACTTGCGGCTCCAAATCTGAGTTTGATAAAAATCCTCTGCTTTTTAATCCATTGAAAAGTTGTGATTTGCGCTCGACGTACTCTATTTTGCAAATTTACCAAAGCTTACGGTAAAGTTTGTGTTGGTTTCAGCGATTTTAAGTACTTTCGGCTCCGAATTTGAGTTCAATAAATATCCTTTATCTCCTTTCTCTTCTCTTTCTCCTCCCCCTTTATCGGAACCCATAGTTGATGGCAAAGAATAGTACCGTCGGCGGCCGGACTTTTGACGGAAGCTACGAGTTGTTACGTCTCCAGCGACTAAATTCCTCGACGACAAAACCAGGTTCTAAAGTTCCTACTCTATTACTCTATATTGCATATTGGTTCTTTGATACTGGTATAATTGCACCCTTTTTTCTCTAAAGAATCTAAACAATCTGCTTCTAGGTGTTAATCTTTTTAGTTATTCTTTTCAAAGTTTTGTTCTTCTTAGTAGTAGCCACTTTTAAATCGGTTTCTTGTTACAATTGAAGTGATATATTGTTTGATTTGGCTGTATAGTGGAATTCTTCTGTTCAGTTTAGCTTAAGAATGGGTATTTTGGATTTTTAAAAATTGCAAAGTTTGGTTCTTTTTAGCATTCACCACTTTTAAATCTGCTTCTTGTTACTGGGTACTAGAATTTAAAATTGTAGGTTTGGCTGGTATTAGTCACTTTTGGGTCTGCTTCTTGTAACAATTTGATTGACACCTTGTTTGATTTGGTTGTACATTGGAATTTTTCTGTCCAACTTTGTAAAAATTGGTAGGGTTTCGTCTATCCATTTTAATCCTGTTAGTCACTCCTTTGAGTTATTTTTAGCTCTTTGGTTCGTAACTTGTAGTCCTTTGTTCCCGTTTTTTGTTCTTAGTGGTAGTGTTTACCTAATACCTTTTGCTTATAGTGGCGGTAGTGAATGATGTGAGAGTAAGATCATGTCCTCGGGTGGGGCTGGGGGTAGGGTCCAGGGGTAGGAAGGGGAGTAAGAAAGCCTCTAGGTTGCGAATTAGGTCTTGGAATATTGGGACGTTGACGGGGAAGTATATAGAGTAAGGTAAGATTCTCCAGAAGAGGAAGATCAACATAGCGTGTGTTCAGGAGACTAGATGGAAGGGTACTAAGGCCCGAGATGTAGACGGGTTTAAACTATGGTACTCAAGGAGCACTAAGGGTAAGAATGGGGTAGGTATTTTAGTAGACAGGGATCTCAGGGAGCTCGTGGTTGAGGTTAGGAGGGTAAATGACAGGTTGATGAGTATTAAGCTGGTAGTTGGTGGGTTTACTGTAAACGTGATTAGTGCATATGCTCCTCAGGTAGGTTTGAACCAAGAGGTCAAGAAGCAATTTTGGGATGATTTGGACGAGATGGTGCGTAGTATCCCGCACACAGAGAAGTTGTTCATTGGCGGAGATTTCAATGGTCATATTGGGGCTAGTGCAGGGGGTTATGATGATGTGCATGGCGGGTACGGTTTTGGGGATAGGAATGAGGGAGGTAATTCACTGTTGGAGTTTGCTAGAGCTTTTGAATCGGTTATAGCTAACTCGAGTTTCCCGAAGAGGGAAGAGCACCTGGTCACTTTTCGAAATTTAATGGGCAAGATTCAGATTGATTTTCTTCTCTGCAGGAAATGCGATAAAGGTTTGTGCACTGACTGCAAGGTCATCCCGAGTGAGCACCTCACGACCCTACATAGGCTTCTAGTTATGGACCTGGAGATCAAGAGAAGTTGGAGGAAGAGGGCGGGGTGCAGGCAACCTTAGATCAAGTGGGGTAACTTGACCAAGGACAAAGCTCAGGAGTTAGGGGAGAAGTTGTTGGCTATGAGGGCCTGGACGAGTATGGGGGACGCGTCTAGTATGTGGTCCATGACTGCATATTGCATTAGGGTAGCTGCTGGAGAGGTCTTAGGGGTAACGTAGGGTTCTCCTGGGGGACATAAAGGGGACTGGTGGTGGAATGGAGAGGTTCAAGGTAAAGTGGAAGCTAAGAAAGCTGCTTATTTGAAGCTAGTAGAGAGTACAAATGAGGAGGAAAAAAGGACTTATCGGGAGTGTTACATAAAGGCGAAGAAAGAGGCAAAGTTAGCAGTTACGACGGCTAAGAAAGCAGCGTTTGCTCGTTTGTACGAGGAGATCGAGGGCAAAGGAGGGGACACCGGTTGGCCAAGGTGAGGGAGAGGAAAGCCCGTGACTTAGACCAAGTCAAGTTGTTGGCCCAAGAACAGGTGAAGTTTTGAAGATTGACAAAAGAACTCAGACATGGACCAGGTCTAGCTTGTGAAGCACAGTCATGATCAACCTGTACATGTGAGATGCACGTGAAGGAGATAAATCTAACTGATCAAGAAGCGATATCTCCTGATCTGATCGAAAAGGTTGCATATTGGATAAGGAGGGAAAGACTCCTTACATGAAGAAAACACAGTTTAGGAAGAAGATAGTGTTAGAGTTTGAGATCACTTTGAACTCTCCTACGATAGAAGAGTAGTACTTGTATCCTAGTCAATCTCTAATTACTAACCCATCAAAAATATCAGTGTTGTTCTCTTTTACAGGCAATGCACATAAGCAGAAGTTAAACTTAAATTGAGAGCAAAAGAGCAAGGCGATTTTGCAAGCAATTTATGTGTGATTCAAGCGTGCAATCCTGAAGCTACTTGAACGAGATAGAAGAACCAATTTCAAGTGTCTATCTTTTATTCTAGTTCAATTGTAGTAGGAGATTTTACATTGTACCTTTCAGCTTTCATAGAAGCAATTGTATTAGGTACCTAGAGTGTTCAAGTTAGAGTTAACTTGAAGTTGTCGCAACAGTTGAGGCTGTGTGCCAAAACGGGATTAGAGTTAATCTTTAGGTTTACAAAGAGTTTTGTAAATGCTGTTTTGGCTCAGTGATTTTAGTGGAAGTTTGAGAAATCCTATTGAGTAGTAGGTCGTGGTTTTTTTACCTTTTGAGCCAGATGTTTTCCACGTAAAAATCTCTGTGTTCTTTATTTTTTTTATTTATTATTCCGCAAACAGTAGTAGTTGGAACACATAGAAGAACCGGGTCATTCTAGAGTTCAGTTAAGCAAAAATTGGGTACCACACAAATCACCCCCCCCCCACTTCTTGTGTGGTATTGAAGTTTAAAACTTCAATTGGTATCAGAGTAGGTTAACCTTGAAGAGGTTAACACCTTAGGAAAAGATCAAGATGGGTGCACCACCTGGAAACTGGGAAGGGCAATCCACTACTAGGCCTCCACTCTTTAATGGTTAGTACTATTCTTGGTGGAAGAATAGGATGAGAGATCACATTATAGGAGAAGATTATGAACTCTGGTACATAGTCATTGATGGTCCCCTGGCGACAACAAAGAAGAATACTGAAGGAGTGGATGTGCCAAAAACAAGAGTTGACTGCACTGATGAAGACTTGAAGAAATGGGAAAAGAATGCCAAGGCCAAGAAATGGCTTGTGTGTGGACTAGGTCCAGACAAGTACAGCAGGATTCAAAGTTGTACCACTGCTAAGGAGATATGGGACACTTTACAAGTGGCTCATGAAGGAACTCCTCAAGTAAAGAGATCAAGAGGAACACTGCTATATTCTCAGTATGAGAATTTCACTATGAAGGAAGGTGAAACTATTCAGGAGATGTATACAAGGTTCACAACACTAACAAATGAACTTAAATCTCTTGGGAGAATTATCCTTGAAGAAGACAGGGTTGAGAAAATCTTGACAAGGGTTTTACCAGTGACTTGGGAAAGCAAAACCACTGCTATTTAGGAATCAAAGAACATTGCTACTCTCAAGTTGGATGAACTTATTGGAAACCGCACTGCCTATGAACTGAGAAGGCAAACCATGAAAATGGATGCACCCAAGAAGGAAAGGAGTGTGGCTCTCAGAATAGCTGAAGGTGCAGATCTGGAGGATGATGAAATGGCCATGATCACAAGGGATTTCAAAAAGTACCTAATGAGAGGAAAGGGTTCTTCAAGAGGTACAACCTTCAACAAATCAAAGGCTCCTGAGAAACAAACTAACGAGGGTTGCTACAAATGTGGCAAGACTGATCGCATGATCAAGAATTGTGCAACCCAAAAGGAAATTGAATGGAAGAAGGAAAGGGCTGAATGAAGGAACATGAAGAAGGAACAGGTTCAACCCAAAAGGAACAAAGGATCAACAAATGCAATGGTTGCTGCTTGGGGAGAAACATCAGATGAGGATTCAGAAGATGAAGCTGGAGATGAACAAGCACTTACGGCCATCGGAGAATCAGATGATGAACAAGAGGTAAGTGTGATTCATCTCAAAGACAAGATTAAATTTCTGTCTAAAGAAAGGTTGTCTGAACTATTGCTAGACTTCATCGATGTGTCTGAGATAATTAACAATGAGAAGGAAGAGCTTTCTAGGGAGTGTGTGATCTTAAAAGGCAAGTGCAAAAATCTAGAATCTAGGGCTAATGAGAGTGACAGTAAAAATGCTGAGTTGAAGAACCAGGTTCTTGTACTTGACACCAATATCCTAGAACTTAGGTCTGAAAATCTAAAACTGAAATTAGGAACGAGTAAGAAGAAAGCTGATCACACACATCTCACCTTAGAAGAAAACCTAGGAAAAATGAAGGATGAGTTGTACAGGAAAGATGAGCAGATAATAGCCTTAAAAGAAGACCTAGGGAAGGTAAAACATGAACTAGACAGAACTTGCAAATGGAATAAGGCTTCTGATGCACTATCCTGGCTACAAGAACATCACAGTAGCAACAAGAGAGGGCTTGGCTATGGGACCCAAGCATCTAAGTGGGAGCCCAAAAGCAAGTACCTCACTCTTCCTGAAAACAAAATCTGCACACATTGTGGCAAGACTGGTAATTACAAAAATGAATGTAATGCAAAAGAAAAGGCCAGTCAAAAGAACAAAACCTTTGTTCAAAAGAAAATTAGGCTGCTTGGGTGGGCTAAAAAGAATTTGATTTACCCCTTTGCCTATAGAAAGGGACCCAAACTAGTTTGGGTTCCTAAGACTAAACCCTGATTTCTTTTTGCAGGTCCAAGTGAAGGGAAGTAGCCATATATGGTACATGGATAGTGGCTGCTCAAAACATATGACTGGAAGCAAGAACCGGTTCCTTTCACTTGAGGACATAAAAGGAGGTAATGTCACTTTTGGAAATGGGAAGAAAGGCGAGATTATTGGGGTTGGAAAGGTAGGTAAGACAGACTCACACTCCATTGAGAATGTCTACTTGATAGATGGCTTGAAATATAGCCTAATCAGTGTGTCACAACTGTGTGACAGAGGTAATCTTGTAGCATTTACCTCTACCAAATGCTTTGTGATTAATCTTACCACTGACAAGATTGGTTTGCAGGGAAAAAGAGTTAACAATATTTACATTGTAGATTTGTCCACTCTTTCTATAAATGAACTCACCTGCCTGAGTGTGTTGGACAATGATCCCCTCATGGAGCGGAAGGAGGACCGCAAAGGCGGCCTCGCAGAAGCGAGCTAGACCTCGCAGGAGCGGAATTTGGAACCCTGGTCAGGTTCCGCAGAAGCGGAGCATTGGATCGCTTAAGCGGTCCCGCAGATGCGATTGGGGACCGCAGAAGCGGAAGGTTGCCTTAAGTGAAAGGTCCGCAAAAGCGGACGTTGGCCGCATAAGCGGAAGCCGCAAAAGCGGTACTGGATCCGCAGAAGCGAAATGCCTGGCAGTTAAGTGAAATTAATCATCTTCGCGAATTTTTGAAAGAACAACATTTTGGACTTCGGACTAAGGAGATTTTGGGCGATTTTTGAAGAGGGTTTCGAGGGCTATCATCAGGTATGGATTCTTGGGCTTAGATTATGTTATTATTGTGTATAAACATGAATTAACACTGAAAACCCAAGGAATTAAAGGGTAAAAATGGGGTAAGTTAGGGTTTGAGAATTTTGATGTAAAAATGGAATTTGGAGGGCCAACGAACTCCAATTTTGGTGAACTTTATATGTATGGACTCGTGGCGAGACGAGGAATCCGGTGATCTAAATTTCGTAATTTTTCGAGAAGCGGGCCCGGGGCTCGGGTTTTGCTAGTTTCGAGATTTCTGCTATTTCTTGGTTGTTTTCGATTGGGTATTGTTCCCTTGGCATATTGTAATGTATTCGCTCTGATTTTGGTTAGATTCGACACGCGTGGAGGCCGGTTTGAGGGGCAAAGGCGTCGAGAGCTAGAGATTTCACCGGTTCGAGGTGAATAATACTTGTAAATGATATCCTGAGGGTTTGAAACCCCGGATTTGCACATCATAGTGCTGTATTGTGGTGACTTGCATGCCAGGTATGAGCGTGGGGTAGAGCACCGTTGGGGATTGCGACTTGGTCCGTCCCGGTTGTTGATTTTACTGCATAATTGACTGAAACCTACTTGATGCTATCGTGATTTGGGTTGATTGCCATGTTTTGGGCTTTGTGCCGATTATTTGAATCCTTTAGGGATTATTATCACTGTTTTCATGACACTTAGCATATTAAATGATTTTAGTCCTGAGTTAAACCCTGTTTTGAAGTGTGCAGTCATATTGTTAAAGTTTAAAGACTTAAATAGCATTTTTCTGATGTTTTGAGTTAAAAGCTATTACTTGACATTGCCCGAGTGGCTCATTTGCATGTTCTAGACTGAGGATGGATCGGGCTACATGCCGCAGCGATACTATGATGATATTGCGCTTGGGCTGTAGGAGCCCCTCCGGAGTCTGAACCCCCACAGTGAGCGCGGGTACCCAAATGGATCGGGCTGCGCGCCGCAGCGGTCATGTGCATTGCATTGCATTCATGCATTGTTTCCTGTTTGTACTACGTGGCATGACATTCAGCACTCTCATTTCATTGGCATCCATGCTGTTCTTGCACTGCGTACCAGATACCCTGGTGTTATTTGTTAATAGAGTGCTGTGCCTGAGGGGCTAACTTATGTGCGGACTTGCACTATTTGATAACGCATTCATATGCTTGACTGTTGGAAAAGGATATTTTCAAAAGAGGTTTTTAAACTGAGCCAGATATTTTCTAAAGGATTTTTTACGGTCTTACTGTTTTCTAAAAAGGGTTGTACTGTCCTATATAGCATGATGGAGTGCTCTTACGTGATTTCTTGCCTCTCAGTTATTATTTACTCTTATTACCA